ATCCGACCTATAATATTTTCTATCCAAGTCTTTCTTAACATATGCCAAATCTAATATATCTACTCTCTTGACCGGGTCATCGGAAGGCCGTCAGTGATTATCTCCATCTAGTTTTTTTTTTTTAAAACTTTAACAAATGCTTCTTTGCTTTGGGGGAAGTGAATGAGTCTCAATAAATTTACCTTGAATTTCATCTAAAATCTTTATTGAGATCTTCAAAGAAATCACTAGTTCTTGTTTTACCCAGGTTTGATGTAATTATATGGACATTCACTGCGATAAACATTTGGCTAAAAAATATTCAATTATTACTAAATCTTTGTGAGAGTGGTGAATTATTTAGTAGCACACATGCTTCTTTGTTTTAAGTCTGGAGCATTGTTATGCAATTCACACAATTGAGCGGAATTTTCAAGGTTGGAGTATGACATGTTAACTTTCTCCCAAATTGCTTGTACAATATTGTAGACCAAGTATAGCGAGATAATGTGTTCTTCCATAGTATTGATTAATCAGGATATTACTATTGGTATCCCATAATGAAAAGGAAGGATCAATCATTTCAGAATAGCAGATTGTACCATTTATCTTGCCTTTCCTCTTTTTGGGATCACCATTTGGACTGAGTGAGACTGTTGGAGAAGTCATCCATTTAGTTTATAGGATATAATTTGAAGAGGTGGGTGCTCCGTGGAAATTCCTAAACGATAATCTGGCTTGGTGAATTGGAGGTAGACCTATTTTTTCACCTTTAAAAGGTCTGGCTTGGGTCCTCTTATAACTATTGGTCATAGCTTAGAACCTAGCTTTGATCCCATGAGAGAAAATAAAAGAGAATTAAGGGGAGAATTGATGCAAGCAAAACTAGAGTAAAGAGACAAATTGGAGAACACCAGGACAAGACTTAAACCAAACTCGATTCATATGTAGCTTGGAAACATCCAAACAAACTTAGGATAAACAAAAACCAAATCGAACAAAACAAAATAAAAACATAAAAACGCTATTATCAGTAAAACCGTCTAGCGGTCTCCTCACATGCAACGAAAGTAGGAAATTTAAGAAAATTGTGCTTAGGCTTGCAAACCAAGGGTCTACCACTGCAAAAAAGTCCAACTTCATTTCCAAACTCCTCCGACAAATGTCTCCAAATTTCAGCCAACATACACTTCCAAAGCTCAAGAAGAAGGATACAAGTGGAGTGGCACTTGCATAGAGAAGAAGAGATTAGAAGCCAAGACGAAATAGAGAGGAGGAAAGGGGGGATGGAACAAGCTCTCAAGCTTTTCCAAGAAGAAAAGCCAGCACAGGAGACAAAGGGGCAGATCACGGGAAACCAACCAGCAAGGAAAAATCGAGAAGACAAAGAAAGAAGAAAAGGCACAAGTCCACTCCATTGAGCTCCTCAATAATGAGCTTGAAACAAAAGCATATCTTTTTTATTTTAATGAGCTAGGAAGTGCATTTAATCTCCAATCATTGAGCTAAACTTCAGCTCAACATTTATGAGCTAACACCAAGTAAAATTCCAGCATTTTGAGCTCAACACCAAGCAACCAAGGCCCACCCGAGAGCAACAACCTCACCAAACCGAATTTAGCAAGCAGCCTAAGGACGAAATGGATCCAAGAGCAAGCAAACCCAAGGCTTGCCATGCCTAGCACATTCCTACCATGATCATTGGAAGCCCAACCATCATAGGATAGCTTAAAAAACATAAAACATAACTAATATTGTTCAAAATACATAAAAAAAAACTAAAAATATTGAATGCATCAAGAATTGGGGAATATACTGTGTGTTTATTTGGTCGAAACATGGCCCTTTTTATAGAGTTTTATAATGGTTAATAATAGGTAAGAAATAATGAATGTCCCAGTATGAAACAACGTACAACCAATACAACAATTTTTTTCTTTTAAAACCTACTACATTTATTTTATACAATCCATAGGAATAGCCCAACAATTTCAACCTTCTAAATCTATCCAACTGTAGCCTTCAGGACATCAGTGCAAAGTGCAATACAGCCACCAAGTCATTAATCCATACTGCCGTCCAGGTTTTTTTTCATCTCTGGCTGGTGCCTTTTCAAAATCGCAGCTGGCTTGACATAAAATGAGCATGCCAACTGCAGCCTTCAATCAATCTGGCAGTAGGGAGGGAAAGCCAGCTCACCTACCATCAAAATACAAAGGAATGGCAGTCCATGTCTCCAAATAAGGTAGAAGGTAAATAGAGAAAGTTTCTTTCCTGTTCCAAGGAGAGGAACGGCAGCAGCCATTTAAAATTTGGCCAAACTAGTGTATACATTTACCTTTTTATCTCCATTATTTCCTCTTTTCCCATAACATTGTCAAGATATTTCTCCATTTTGTCCACTTAACCTTAATTCTAGAAATTATATCATTTATACTTACTTTCTTTTATATAATGAATCTAAAATACTAAAAGTATCACACCTAGATGTCTCCTCCATTGGTTTAACATACATTTGTTTCATTAGATATCTCCTCAATTATAAGATGAAAGTATATAACAAATCACCTCAAGTTAAAACTCCTTTGTAAGTATTTCCACAACCTATTTTATTCAGTTTTGATCCTTATTGTCATTCTATTTTAATTTCGAACTCTTCGGTCACTCATGAATTGCTTCAAATATTAATGAGTGCCCCCCATCATACACATTTGTAATAAATTCAATTTACCTTTGATATACACATTTTTTTCCTTAATGCGCACTAAATTAATTCTTATGGTACTCGATTATATACTTTATTAAGATCATACAAACTATATAAAGATCATTTCTAAGTTTCTTATATATTTTTTTCATTAATGTAATTAACAAAAAATTTGTTTTCATAGTAGATCTTTGAAACATTTGCAAGAGGATGTACCCCGGTGTATGCTTTTTGCTGATGATATTCTTCTTGTTAATAAGACTAAATAGGGAGTTGAAGGTAAACTCTAATTATGGAGGTCAATCTTAGAGTCTAAAGTTTTTTCGTTTGAGTAGATCTAAAGTCGAATACATGGAGTGTAATTTTAGTAGTAATAGATCAAGTGGGGGATTTGTGATTTTGAGTGATCAAGTCATTAATAAGTATACTTGTTTTAGATATCTTGGGTCTATTGTTAAGAGTGATGGTGAAATAGATGGGGATATTATTAGTAGAACTCAAGTTGGATGGTTGAAGTGGAGGAATGCTTCAGGTTTGTTGTGTAATATAAAAATACTACTCAAACTTAAGGGAAATTTTTTTATGTTGGTGGTGAGACCTACAATGCTTTATGGCGCAAAATGTTGGTCATTGAAAGAGAGGCATAATATTAAGTTAAGTGTTGCTGAGATGAGGATGCTCAGGTGGATGAGTGGATTTACTCTTAGAGACAGGTTACGAGACGAGCATATCCATGAAAAGGTTGGAGTAGCTCTAGTGACAGGTTAGATTAGAGAAAGTTGCCTTAGATGATTTGGTCATGTAAAACGGCGGCCTTTTGATGACCATGTTAGGAGAGTAGATGTATTAGATTTGACTTATGTTAAGAAAGTTAGATGTAGACCTAAAAAGACTTGGTTAGAAAATATCAGAAATGACCTTTCTCTATTAGATTTAAATGAGAATTTGACTCTTAACAGGACACAATGGAGAAAAAGGCTTATGTAGCTGACTCCACGTAGTGGGATAAAGGCTTGATGTTGTTGTTGTTGTAGTAGATCTTTGAAACACTAAACTAATTATTATAGTATCGATCATATGCCTTTTAAAATTAGTACAAATCATATGAATATCCCTTTCTCAGTTCCTTCAATATTTCTCATTAGTTTTTTAACATCCGATTTATCTCCATAGCAAATTTTTCTTGCTTGAAACAAATTAATTTTTCTAAACTTGTGCAATATTCTAAGTCTATGCTTGATTGCTCTCTTTCAAAGATTTATTATGTCTATTAAATTTAATTTCTTTATAGTTAGCATAATTTTGATTATAGTTTTTATTGCTAAATTTTAATATCAAAATATTTCTTCTTCAATCCTTTGACATCTTCTTAATTGTGTAATATAGTTAAGGTCATAGCTTTTCTAATGGAGAAAGGACCAAATTGGTCTCCAAATCTTTTTAAAGGATTAATATAATCTCCGACTCTATGAAAGCACCAATTTGGTCCATTCACTCTTTAAATAGAGGTCAGTCCTTTGTGAGATATTTAGATCCCTATTTAAAAATTCAAGGGACTAAAATGAGACTTCTAAATAGTCGGGGACAATTTTGGTCCTTAATAAATGATCAGTGACTATTTTGAGCCTTATCATTTTTCTAATGTAACCTAGGATTATATGCAAGGTGAGACTCAAACAAAGTTCACTATCATGTTGCCAACACTTATCTTTAGCAAAACTTAATCACTTTTAATATGAAAATAGCAAACATGCTTTGTTCATCCTAAATTTAATTTAAAATAAATCCAAAATTTAAAATACCACCAGGAAAATTTTTGCAACTGGCATAATATTTCAGTAACTATCAAGTTCTGGTTTCAAAAAAGCATTCATCTCACTTGACAAAATTACAAACACATATAAGACTAATGACTAAATAATTCAGAAGATAAGAATAATGATCTAAATTCCCCCAGATGGAAGAATCGGGCCTCATATTGGTACAAGGAGTTTCTCCCCAAAGTTCCATCCGCACTTGTGAGGTATTCTAAGAATATACATTCAACAAGCACACACAAGAGGAGAGGAAAACTAGAATTGTATTACAATAATCAATAGGCAAATTTGTTTTACATGCCTTGGGATTTTATTTGTAGCCTGATTTAAAATAATGAACTACATAAAATATTTAAAGATCTACTCAAAATAGCAAGTTTTAATTCACCTTTCTTGAAGTTAGTAGTAGATAATTTCTCGTCTAATCTTGATTTATTTTGCTGTCTGGTTACTATAGGACACAGCAGTAAGGCAATTAATATGATCTTTTCTTGCAGGTTTTTTTTCTTAAAGGGAGGTTCATATTTGGACCGGACGTGAGGTCACTCTTTCTCACTATCTTTCTAATTGTTGCTCCTGTTGCAATTTTCTGTGTATTTGTTGGTAGAAAGCTAATGGATAAATTTCCTCATCACTCGGGGATATCCATTATGGTTGTTGCTGTGGCATTCACTCTATATGTGAGTATCATTTTAGTTTTAACTTTATGTTTTCTGTCTTTTTTTTTTTAATTTGGCTTGGAAAATTTACGTTTGTAATACTCAAATCAACTTGGTTTACAAAATAACATCCAAATCTTTTAAAATGAACTACCAAACCAAGCCTTCTTTGTGTCACCCACAATTCAGTAAAAAATGAACAGTACTATCTCTCATGGTGTTTTCTTACTGTATTTTTAATTATCCAAGTGTAGTGTCTGGTATTGTAAATAGAAATGCGTAGGTACTAATTTTTTAAATTATAAAGATTTGTGTGCTAAGCACATAATTGCTCCATTTAATTTTCCTTTTTTCTTGGAAAATTAGCCTCCTGAATTGGCTAGCCATGTCGGTCTATGTTTTCCGGCTAGTGCATTTGAAGAAAATTATTGATGAATTTATGCCTACATCTTAAACTGTTATGACAGTTTTTATGCCTTTTACATTTTATATTTCGCTTGCTTCCCTTTAGTTTTAAAATTTGTTAAAATATTTAAGATAGTGTCAAACTGTCAATGATGATGATGTTGATGCTGATAATGATACATTTGGAACTTATGATGTAGTTATGTTATATAAATGTTTTGCTACCTTCTTAAAAGACAGGAAAAAAATGGTCGATTTAATGTAAATATAACCCCTTGATTTGAAATGCAGATATTCTATTATGTGTGCAAACCTTTTGGAAAATTTATGACATTTTAATAACATGCTTAAGTGGAAATAGCTAGAAAGGATTATTGTTCCATTGGAACTTAAAAGAAAAAACTTACAGATTTCACTTCAAGAAATTATATATTCAACAGATGCTCTTTGATTTCATTTTCTTTGTTCTGGGTTAATGTTTCTTTTTTTGTTTGTTTTAAGGAGTTGCCTAATCTTTGTAATTAAAATAACATGTTTCTGGCATAAGACTATTTTCCTAAGTTTTGTCAAGTATATCGCATCATTTTCCTGATGTCAGTTAATTTAGCATAATATATGAAGGAAACTTTAAACGATAATTTGATCTTTAATAGGACACAATGGAGAAAAAAGATTCATATAGCCGACCCCACGTAGTGGGATAAAGGCTTGATGTTGTTGTATCTGAAGAAAACTTTATGCAAGTTCTTCATTACTTAGACTAAGGTTCTTTTGCTCTGAACAACATTTGATTGATGGTTCTCAAATGAACATGTCCAAAGTAGTAACAACACATTGAAGGTTTTTTTTTTGTTTATGTAAAAGCTCCAATTAGTCCTCTCACTATTGATAAATGTTCAAATTAGTCTCAGATTTTTGCATTGCTCCAATTTGATCCCTGAACTATTGAAAATGGCCAATTTGGTCCCCTATGAATGATTTGTAGTTTAAATTAACGGAAAAAGCTTGAGAGATTTGCTTCTTTGTGGGCATTTAGGTAAAATTACTTATTACATGCTTGATGTGTTCTCGCTATAAGCCTTCGGCCTTCCCGCTTTACGCCCTATAGACCGATTTGTGCGAGGTGAAGCTGCGTAGAATGAGATGCGAGTAAGGTGTGCTTTGATTCGCATTCCGGATTCAAGTACGACTGCGAGATAGACGATGCACTACGAGCAACACACCTTGCGGGGCTGTTTGGATACAGGAAGAAAGATGGCTACTTTCACAACGAGCAAGCTCCCATCGTTACTTCCAATCCTACATAAGAACGACAAGGAAATGCTACTTCGGATCTGATAGTAAGTAATGTCGTCAAAGGAGGCGAAGTTATTTAGTGACTCTTCCAAAACTCTACCTCTCACGCAAAGTCAAAGAGCAAAGAGCAACGGGAGAAGAAGAAAAGCAAACCTTCGGCCATAACCATATAACATAACAGACATTGCCATAGAAATATAACATAGGAATAAATTAATTTAGTTGAACTATTTTAGTTAAAATTAATTAAGAATATGATTTACAACAACAATAATATCAAGCCTTTATCCCACTATGTGGGGTTAGCTGCATGAATCCTTCATCTCCATTGTGTCATGTTAAAAGTCAAATTCTTATTTAAATATAATAAAAAAAGTTGTTTCTAATATTTCTAAGTATTTTTAGTTTTATCTCCTTTCTTAACATACATCAAGTCTAATACATCTGTTTTCCTAATCGAGTCATCGGAAGGCCGCCGTTTAATGTGACCAAAACATCTAAGGCGGCTCTCTCTAATCTTATCTTCCCTTGAAGCTACTCTAATTTTTTCACATATATGCTCATTTCGTATCTTGTCTCTAAGAGTAAAGACACTCATCCAACTAAGCATCCTCATCTCTGTAACACCTAACTTAATATTATGCTTTTCTTTTAATGCTCAACATTCTACATCATAAAGCATTGCAGGTCTCACCATCATTTTAGAGAATTTTCCCTTAAGTTTGAGGGGGACTTTTCTATCACACAACAAGCCCGATGTATTCCTCTACTTCAACCATCTAGCTTTAATTCTGCTAATAATATCCCCATCTATTTCACCATCACTTTGAATAATAGATCCAAGATATCTAAAATGTGCACTCTTATTAATGACTTGATCGCCCAAAGTCACAATCCCCTCACTAGGTCTATGACTACTAAAATTACACTCCATATATTCAGTTTTAGATCTACTCAAACAAAAACCTTTATACTCTAAGGTTGATATCCATAATTCAAGTTTATCTTCAACTTCATCTTTAGTCTTATCAATAAGAAGAATATCATCAGCTAAAAGCATACACCAAGTTACAACCTCTTGTAAATGTCAAATAATAACATCCATGACTAAAGTAAAAAGATATGGGTTGAAGGCTTATTCTTGATGCAATCCAACTGAAATAGGAAAATATTTGGTCAAACCACCTTGTGTTTGACACAAGTAACAACTCCTGTATACATATCCTTGATGACTTGAATATAAGTATTATTAACCTCTTTCTTTTCTAGAACTCTCCATAGCACGTCTCTTGGAACTTTATAATATGCTTTCTCTAAAGCAATTAAGATTATGATGTAATTAATAAATAATTAATTACTTAGATTAATTGATAATTAACTTAGATTTTTTAATTATATTATTTATAATGGTTAGTTAATAATAATAAGAAATAATTAATAATTAACTCATAAATAATTAACTTTAAAATTAATAAGTTATTTCATAATTAATTATTTTTAATTATATTATTTTCTTAATTATAATTTATTGACAATAATTAAAATTAATAAGTAAATTTTATTTAAAATATAAATTAATATTAAAAAACAAATTAAAATTTGATTGTTAATGAACTAAATGATATGAAATTGACTTATGATATTTTTATCATATTTACATGATATGAAATTGTAAATTTCATCATGTTATATTTTGCTTTAAAAAATATAATTTTTTCACTTTTATTATTAGTAGATTAAATATGTATTATAATTTTTTAAATTATTAAATTGAGCAATAAGAGTAATGTAATTTCATATCCGCTTGTGATATCTAAAATATCATTCATATTTAACTTTGTAGTTCACTTTAATTCTTATTTTAAGATTTGAGACTAAATTGACTCAGTTTTTAATAGTTGATGGACTAAATTAGAGCAATGTGAAACTCTGGGAATAAATTGGACATTTATCAATAATCGGGAGACTATTTTGAGCTTTTTCTCTTTTTTGTTTGTATTTTATTAGGGATGAGGTCTCTATGTTTAGGGGCTAAATGAAACTTGGTCCATGCTTCAAAAGTAAGCATACTTATTTACTGATTTTGGTTGTTGGTGGAACCGGAACAATAGTTAAGTTTCCTTCATTATGGCATTGTGGTCTCTTGTTAGATCACAAAAATAATCTTTCTACAATGAAGATGAAATGCTATATTCCTCAACTCCTTCCATTGCTCTGCTCCAATGTGAGCTTGCTATTTTGCATATGCCTATTAATTATGAATTGTGGTTGAGATATTTATTATGTCTGCATATGTAATCTACAACTACTTGTAAATAGATAATGTAATGTTAAGGTTGTGAATTTGACTAAGATCATTTTAACATTAGAATGAAATTTGGCTTGAATTATGTTTGTCTTAGTTCTAACTTGACTTTAGAGTGGAGTCTAGATTGGAATAAGCGAGCTCAAGATTGGATTGAAATGCCTATATATATATATATATATATATATATTCTTTGATTGATCAGTTTTATTCAGACCTATCATGTGTTAGTATACACATTTAAAAAAAAAAATCCTAATAACTATTATTTTTTAAATTTTTTAAAGAGAAAGCTGTTGCAGTAGCCCCAATAATCTATTTTAAATACCTATTACTTAAAGCAAGTCTCTTTTCGAGACCAAGCCCATAATCCTTGACCCCCTTCACCAAACCACAAAAAAAAAAACTCACGCTATCCTTATTCATTTATTTTTTTAGCTTTCTCCAGTGACGACGAACAACTATTCCAATCTTGCATCTCCATAGCTGGCGCTTTCCCCTAAAGACAAGGCAAAAGCTTCAGCCTAGAGTCCATCGAGCCGAGCTCTCAAATTTGAGAGAAAATGAATGAGTTGAGCTCGAGTTCGAGCTGCTCTTTTGAGAGACGAGTTGAGCTTGAGTTTGTTGCTACTCGAGCTTGGCTTGACTTGTTTACACCCCTACACTCATATATGCATGTTTGACTAAGAATTCTTTTGGCAGATAAAAAATTAATCTAGATTAGATTTTTTTTTTGTAGCTTAAATCGAGCTTGGATAAAGTTAATGAGCCATACCCAATTTGAATCAAGTTTGGATCAAGCGAGTCTTTAACTGGACTAGGATTGACTCAAGAGCAGATTGATTGACTTTGAGTCGGTCTTGATTTTAGGTCAAATTGTTAACATTCCTACAATATATTCATAAGCATCCCCTCCTTATCCTTATATTTTCTTTAAGAAAGGGTACTTTCCATAGTGCACTAGTGTTGCTTTAGCAAGGCAGCTGTATTTTGCATCGTCTCTTTAGTTCATTCACCACACTATATATAGGTGTAACTATCGGATTTCTTAGTAATGGGGTCTTTACGCACTATAAGTGCGAAATCATTAAAAATGAATACCTTTTTCCTTAAAATTCAAAGTCAGCTATGTATTACTAAGGTTGTTGTATATTCGAAGAAATGATATAATTTAGTAATATGCTTAGTATTGAAACACTACAGTTTACTGCAATTTGACGCCAATTATGGTAACCTTGAATCAAATTCCCCGTCTGTTTCTCCTCTGTAATTGAAACCAAAGAAGTCAGCATTCTAGCTTAGGTAATTAGATATTCTCTAGTATTTCCCAATTGTGATGTTAGTTTGTTATTAGACTAACTGAAATTCAGATTAGTAGTACTAAATATTATCTACTGTTGACTAATTAAATCAAGAATATATTATTTTTTGTATGGCATGCCATGTATTTAATTTTTTAACATTTTGTACGAATGACCTAATGTAAGACCTCTACAGTAGAATTAATTCTCATCCAAGATGGAATATGATAAATGTGGATCAAGAAAGTTATATAGCTAGTCAATCCATCACACAGAATATTATATTATTCGGTAGAAATAGAGAATCCATGCCTAACTACTAAGCAACCTTTTAATGTTCTCATGCTTGTAAGACTATGCTGGATGTAAGTGTTGCCTGCCAATTGTTTCTGTTCCTTTAATAGGAATGGAGCTTGAAAAAAAATCCGTTAACCAATTCTTGGATTGATGCTATGTAGCACAAAACATCTAACAGGCCAGCATTTTATGTTGGCTATTTTATCCGATACTTTATACAGAAGGATTCCATGTTAGAACAGGTATTTTGTGTTTCTTATTGTTTTCATTTTTTTTTTTTTTTAATTTTCTTACATTTTTTAGAAACCTTAGGGGCGCAGCTTGGACATGTTTCAGTTACTCATGGGGAACAACTTATGCAACTCTAGCTCATTTATTTACCTAAGTCATTCTTTGGGTTCTTTTGCATTCTTCCTCACACTATCTATCTCTTAGCATTTTTTCTGCTTGAAATTTACATAGTCAATTAGAGCATGATTACAAATTTGAGTTATAATTTCAATATTTTCCTTGTCACCAAGTTCATGTTTTGTTGTGCCCCATGTCATCCCTGCTGCACTGGGGAGGCATTTTCCTTCATTGGAAGCTGGTGTTCTTTTGCAAATGTATTCATAAAGTGCCATTGTAAGTTTTGAATGTTTGCTTTATCTTGATGACGCAAGTATTCTTACTGTAAGGTATATAATAACGTCCATTGATAAACCAAAAAAGGATCTTTTAGAATGAATAATATGCTCTCAATTTTTTACCAAAAACAGTGAGGATCTTTTAGAACGAAAATATCTAGCAGTCTAGCCTGACTTACTAGCCCAGCTGTTGAGTATTATTAGAAAGAAAATGGAGAGAAAACATTACAAGGCAGCATGTGGGTATAGTATGTATGCTATCAATTCCTTGCGTTCTTTTTATTAGTAACACAACTATTGTCATTTATCTGAAAACTGTATTTTTGTTATATTAATCTGAGTGTAAGAGGAGCTTATGATCATTATATTCACACATATTACCTTCAGGATTTATGTCTTTTGCTTCTCGCTTCTGGAAGAGATCCAGGTATCATACCCCGTAACACACAACCTCCTGAACCCGAAGGCCTTGATAGGAGTATTGATGTTGGGGGTGTGCAGACGCCACAAATGCCTTTGCCTCGCATGAAGGATGTGATAGTTAATGGCATCACGGTGAAGATCAAATACTGTGACACTTGCATGCTTTATCGACCTCCAAGATGTTCCCATTGTTCAATCTGCAACAACTGTGTGGAGCGTTTTGATCATCATTGCCCATGGGTTGGGCAATGCATTGGGCTTGTAAGTGATAAGTTTCTGCAAGTAATTTATCAAAAATTGTTCCAAAAATTATTGGTCGGCAAATTCAACTTAACAACTATGAGCGATAAATATGTTTCTTAGCTTCTAAGTTGATTTCTGACATTAAACTCACACACTTGCACTCAAGATACCAAAAAACGGGTTGAAAAGTAGTAAACAAGTTATTTGTCTGTCTGGTTACTTTTTGCTTTTGACTAAACTGTGTTAACTGTTCTTTCTCCAGAGGAACTACCGGTTCTTTTATATGTTTGTCTTCTCAACTACTCTGCTTTGCTTCTATGTGTTTGCTTTCTGCTGGGTCTATATCAAGAAGATTATGGATGCTGAAGAAACAAGCATTTGGAAGGCAATGACCAAGACTCCTGCTTCCATCGTGTTAATAGTTTACACATTTATAGCCGTTTGGTTTGTTGGTGGCCTTTCTGTCTTCCACTTATATCTCATCAGCACTAACCAGGTAAATGAGCCACTCTTGAAAAATGTGGAATTTCTCTTGTTACCGGAATTTCATTTACATGCTTACATCTGGAAACAGCACTTTATTTTCTTGTAATGTTCACATTAGTTTGCATATTATAGAATGGAGCTGTTCTTCTGTCAGATAGGGATGACATCAAAAAAGTGTAGAGAGTAAAAAGGAAGAGAGGAGGGCAGATGGATGGGCTTAGTTGGAGAGGAGGCAGAGGGGAGAGCTTAGGAGATAAACTTTATAATCATTCATTGTTAATAATACTATAAAACCTAAGTATACATCTTTTGTAGAAAGAGTGCCATTCATTATGACTAAAAAAAGATAAACTTACTTTTAATAAATGATGGTAGTGAAAAGAAAATATAATAATAATAATATCGCAAGTCAATGCGACATAATCTGCTTGCATCATTGTTTCCCAATATGTTTAAACCAAACTGTCGCACTTTAAAATAAAACATGTTTGAGTTTAAATTGGTTTGGTCTTGAGAAAATGTTGTGTTTAATATAAAGAAAAAGATGCTTGGATGTTAAATCTAGCATATTTATATGCACGAAAATCATTTAGATGAACAAACAATTAAAGGATCAGTTTACTGTGGGGAAGGAAATAAAGAGAGGAAATGTAACCAGGCTTGAGATTGAGATTTTGATAGAATGAGATTTGGCTTCACTGAAAAAAAAAAAAAAGTTAGATGGCTAATGAGTTATTCACAATAAAAAATATAGAAAAACCAGGGACTGAATTTTCTTATACTCGTTTTTTTTAATGGCTCCAATCTCCAAATCTTTGTTCACCATTAGAGTTAATTGTCTTATACGCAGCAAATACCTACAACAACAACAACAACAACAACAACAACATCAAGCCTTTATCCCACTACGTGGGGTCGGCTACATGAATACTTTTTCTTCATTGTGTCCTATTAAAAGTCAAATTCTTGTTTAAATCTAATAAAGAAAAAGAAATTAATAACCTGATTAAAAGTTATTTAATAATTGACCAGAATTCATTGAAATTAATAACCTGCCATATTTTATTCATAATCTTATTAATCTGTTCTTGCAATCAATGATTCAACTCTGCTTACAGACAACATACGAGAACTTCAGATACCGCTACGATCGCCGGGAAAACCCTTACAATCTAGGTCTGGTCTCCAATTTCAAAGAGATTTTCTTCACCAGCATCCCTCCCTCCAAGAACAATTTTCGGGCTAAGGTGACACTAGACCAGGGGCTAAAACCTAGACAGTCCACAGGAGGCTTCATGAGTCCCAACATGGGCAAAGGCATTGGTGATATTGAAATGGGAAGGAAAGCCATGGCCTGGGGAGAACACGAGGCTGGTTCTGCCATTGACATGGAAACAGGTCTCAGCAACGAAACTATTGAAAATAAGGATGGTAGGTTATACAACTCATCAATGGATTCAGATCGGATATTGCCTTTAGAAGTATCAGAGGACCAAATGGCGACTGAACATCAATGGAGGCATCCGAGCTGGGGGAGGAGCAGTGGGAATTGGGAGATGCCACCACAACTATTACCTCTATCTTCCATGGATGACAATTCGAATCTCGTCGGTGTTTCTCCAGGCATAAATCGGTAAGTTCTAAGATCTGTAGCTGTCTGCGTTTGGTGGAAGGATGTTTTAGGGTTTTGCTAGGGCTCACAGTAGCTTCTAATGTCTACTGTTGGAACAGAAATGAGCCATTGTGGTTTTTTGTCCTTTTTTATTTGATATTTCTCTGGAATCTGGAGTGGTGTGTAGTGTTGTTTTTATACTTTCTTTGGATTTCATATAACATGCAAGCTTTCAGAGAAGGAGATGTGCAGTTTTCTTGACATAATTCTTGTCTCCAACATATGAGATAGGCAGAGGAAACCTTTAGTGTCTCTTTATTTGGAATTTGATAGAAGTTCAGACTCACTAGTAATTCAATGAAGTGTTCTAGTTCGTGCTAGTGAGAAAGGTCAGCTGGCTTGATTTTGGCTCCCTTGATTCAACTCTATTTGTTTCTTTGCTTTTCATTTTTGAGCTCATTTATAAAATTTTGTGAACTCGATAATTGCCTGTGTTTTGGTATTCTTATTAAAGGTCTCACATTTTTTTTATTTGTTTAATTGAGTCTAAGGGGTTGGCCTCATTTTTCTTTGCTTGGTTTGGTAACTTGAAGGTTATATAATTCAAGTCTAAATTTCTTTTTGATTTCATCTTGAACTGAGAAATTATTCTGTGCAGATACTGGACTGTTCGGGGACTAATCATAATGCACCACGTCACCCGGTCGAGTAAAAAATTGATGTGGCGTGTTTTGATTGGTCTCTGGACGTCGTCTGGATCCGAACGGAATAAATTTTTTTTTTTATATAAACTAGGTTACTCCTTGGGTAGTTACTGCTATTCTAATGATGGTTGAACAGTGGTCCATTTGGGTCGGGTTAGGAAAGCTGTGAAATTATAAATTTATTTTGAAAAAAATAAATATTGTGAAAGCTTGTGTGATAATTTATGTTTTGAAAAAGTTAAACATCAAATTATTTATAATGAAGATAATTTAACATTTTTTTTGGAGCATTTAGATAAATTAAGATAAACTCATCCGCACATAAGTTGCATATCTATCTTCGCATATGTGGTAGCAAGAATTTAATTTTAATAAAAAAATAATAAAAAATGAATAAAATATTATAATTAAATAGAAGAGTAAGTTATTAGAGAAATAAAGCTATAAAGGATCAGTTAATGTAGCACCTTTTGATTCAACCTATGCATAGGTCGACGTGATTCGGGCATGTCAAGTGTGCGACCAAGCCATGCCTATATTCTTTATATCTCCCTCCTTTCCAAACATAGTCATTATGAGTGTCAAAATGAGTTAAAGAATCAGGTTTAACTTGAAATTGATTCAACTTGAATCTGACCCGTTTAATAAATATCCCAAATTTGATCCGCTAGCAACACAAATGACTCAAACATAACTTGATAATCCATTTTGATTAAAAAAATTTATAACTTGTTAATCACATATTTTAAGTTAATTGATAAAAAATAAGATTATACAAATATGTAATAGAATTTAAGGAAAAAATTTATGAAACAAGACTCTTTGAGTCAAAATTGAATTAGCGGGTCAACTCGAATCCAACTCTTTTAATAGACGAGTCAAAATTCCTGATCAAAATTTGACTCATTTATTAAACAAATCAATTCAAACCCAAATTTTTTATTTAGATCTAGATAGGGTTGATGGATCTAATCATTTATTGACACCACTAATAACCATTTTCTTTGTAGAAGAGGCTATATAATGCACATGTTTTTTTCTTAGTGCTTGCTTGAAATATCATGCACAAATCTATGATTATAATATATACATACATATATACAAACTACTTCAAATTGGATAAATATAATTGCTTCTATTTAATGTAGTTATTGAAATAATATTATTGATTTATCATACTATGATACAGTGTTTGTCATTTTGATTGTATTTTGCTTGTGATAAATTCTAAAAGTTTAAAACAACCATTTAGTTGTACTGAATTACTTCAATTCTAACTCATTTTGAATTAAAATTTGATTACGAATCAATTTAAACCAATTGCAATCACTTTGAAATTCAAATAAATAATCCATGATAAAAAAAACTTACACAGATCACATAGATCTGTTGGTTGTGAGCATTGATGTTTCGAAAGCTCGTGTACGTGATGAGTGCGTGAGTTTATTTTTAATTGGCTAAAAAATCAAAAAAAAAAAAAAAATTGGCAAAAAAAAAAAAAAAAAAAAAAAAATCCGACGAACTTTCAAGCATATTTGTAGAATAAAACAAATAAGGAGCAATTATAATTAGACATAGAAAGTCAAATTTTCTAAAACGATTACTTCATAAAATAACTTATGAATATATCTTCTAAACTTAAACAACACATCTTCTTACAGCCCCCACGTAGAGGGATTTATTGTTTACCGCCATTATAGATTAAAGAGTTGAAACTCTTATGAATTATGAGCGCATTAAATAAAAAATCATAGTTTGGAGAAGTTAGGCTTACGCTTCTGAATGTGGGCTGCTACAGCCTCCTCCAGGTCTGGAGACATGAGCATGGCTGAGTTCCAGGTGGCAACGTAATCAAGTCCCTCATCCACCTTCTGATCCCGGCTCTTCAGAAGCACCGCCTTCGTTCCCATCACCGCCACCGACGACTTCTCTGCCAACCCTATAAGAAGCACAAATTCAAAACACTAATTAAAATTAATAAAATAAAAAAGAAATCAACCTGAAATTAGAAAGAGAGATTTTTTGATCTCAGCATCAATTGACGACCCTTCATCTAATGGTGACATCGAATACAAAGAAGCAAATTCTGTAATTTTCTATCTCCTCTCTTCCAAGAAATCTCCTTATCAATCTCATAGTCGATCATGAATGTTTTACCTAGATGTTCACCTTTGATGCTTTCATTGAGACATAGTGGTGATGAGGAGGACACCAGGACCTGGAGATCATAAGGACACTAGACTATGTCCTGTCGAGAGGAAGAATCTGAACACACAGTCGTTGAGTAAGGCTTCGTTTGGGACGATTTTCTTACTGCTTCTTAAAGCAGTTTTTTAGTACACAAATTAGAGTAAGAAAATCGTCCCAAACGAAGCCTAAATCTAAATCTGATTTTGCAACTCAGACACAATTGAATGAAATCATTGCCAAACTTGATAATTTAACATAATTTTTACAAGATAATTGAGCTGCTGCTATTGAAGAAACACTAGAACCATGTAAAAAGTCGACCATGGATGGGTCGACTTTGCTGCATCATGCAGGGGTAAGCAATGATGCAGTTGAAACCATTAATTCCCTCCTTGTTGAGAATGGTAGTTGGGTGAAGAAGCTGGCATGGAAGTCCAAGTTCTTTCCACTTAAGGAGAAGAGTCAAATTTTATCCTTACTTGGAAAAGATACTTCCTTTGAATTGGATGCTCAAAGTCTCTAACCTCAACTTCTGCTAGTGCTTAACTGAATCAGACAAGCTTGGCTGGTTTTGGGGTCACGAGAGGTACTCCTTATTATACATATATTAGCAAAATTTTCATAGCTTGCAAAAATCATGGCACATCATAATCAATTAGTTTATATGAATTAAAATGTGCAACATAAATTGGCAAAATTTACATAATAAAATATCATACTTAGTCCAACATGTATGAATAGTGTTGTTGTTTGATGAAATCACTTTCAAAATGTGTAGTAAAACTAATATAACATAATAAAAAGTATAAGAAGATGTTTATCGTAAAAGTTTATTACATAATAAAACATGCAAATCACTAATAGTAAACAGAATATAATTATGTAACATCAAATGCTATGATAAAAAAATATCATCGAATCACACCTTCAAGATTTTGTACCTGCTAAAACATTATTCAACCTACAACACGAGATCATAGGATTACAAAAACACTCTACGAAAATTAAAAAAATAATCTTGACTATCTATCCTTCGGGAAGTTCAGTGATTTCAAGAGCGTGCATCTTGCCATTGGTGATTCCCTCGCCGACGAAATCGACAACGGCAACACCAGGAGAGCTTGAAAGTTAAATCGCGAGCTAAACCCAACCCCACACAGGATTTCCAAAATCCAAGATTTAGTTTATGCCGTAGGTAAAATGGGATTTGCAAAATCATATGATTTAAGGACGCCAAGAAAAAAAAAAGGATTAGTTGAATTTAAATTAAATATTACCTAAATCCCACCTAAATCTTGCTACAAAATAATGCCATGGAAAAATAATCGGATTTAATAAGGCGTGGATACAATCTATAGAACTTTATCAGCACAAAAAATGAGCAGAACAGGATACGGCCAATTGAAATTGATGGGGACGTCAGGCAGCTTTGTTACCCAAAGATTCATTCAAACAAATCCGAGAAATCGGAACTTTATCTTACCAATTCACATGATCAGAAGTTTTCTATGACAAAAATTTCCAGAAAGAGCACGTAAATGAACTGGGGGGTGACGATATTACCTTTGGCAAGCTGGTCGACACCCTCCTCGAGCGCCGAAGGTGAGGGGAAAACCCTAGAGACGAGACCTATTGCCTTGGCCTCCGAAGCTGAGACCCTCCGGCAGGTTAGCGCAAGGTCAACAGCGTTGCCATAGCCAATTATGTGCGGCAGGCGTTGAAGAGACCCGAGATCAGCGGCAAGGGCAAGGTCGACCTCTTTGACGACGAAAAAGGCATCGTCAGAACAGTATCGGATGTCGCAGGCGGCAGCGAGGTCGACGCCTCCGCCGACGCATGCTCCCTGGATTGCGGCTACGACGGGTTTGCGGAAACGCTCGAGGGAGGAGATGGCAGCCTGTAAAGACAGGATACGTCCGCGAAGGAGATCGGCGGCGGCGGCTGGGGAAGGGGAAGGGGAAGGGGAGGGGGAGGGAGTGAGAGATCGGAGGGCTTCGAGGTCGATGCCGGAGCAGAAGTGGGGTCCACGTGCAGCGAGGACAAGGGCTCGAGCAGAGGGGAGGACGGAGAGGAGGGAGAGGGCGCGTGGTAGTTCGGAGAAAAAGGGGACTGTGAGGGCGTTCCGTTGGGCAGCGCGGTTCAGGTAGATGTGATAGACCGGAACCGCCGGGTCCTTCTGGACAACCTCCAGTGTCTGGAACCCTCGCCGGAGTTCGTCCTCCGCCGCTCTTATCTCTACGTCTGACGCCGCCATCCTCTGTTATTCGTGTGATTCTCAAGTAGAATTTAACAAGTCTCATAAATTCAACTTCAAAATGTTACAAGAACATCAAATCGACATGTAAAAAATATTCAACCATTTCTCGAACTTTATTTGATCTTTATTGAAATAAAATTTAAACTAATTATGATATCTTCAAATCGTGCCCCACTGATTTTAGTATTAACATCTAATTAATTCTATTTATGATGTAAATCAAATAATTTTCTTTTTCTTTTTTCATCCAAATAGCAATCCTGAAATTGCAAGAATGTGTGCAACTCGGGCCGTCCATATCGCACAGACTCGGTCCGCTTGAAAGAGAGAAGTCCGAACGTTGCCCAGTCGCCCTCCTCGTCTCGTGTCGCTTCCGCCTTCCAACATTGAACTCCCAGACTCCAGTCGATGGTCCTCAGCCCCTTGCCCACCCCGCTTAGCACTCCACATTTCACATTTGCCACTCGGCATTGTCAAACAAGAGGAGAAAAACAACAGGGTATTCTATCAGATAATATATATGACTTATGTTCCTTTTAAAAAGTAAGTATTTCATTTGAGTCAACCTTTTCAAGATTATTTTCTAGACAAATGTTACAAGTTTTTTTGACATTGATATGCTTCTTTAGTTTTTTTTATTTGTGTTGAACTAATCTATGATGGCTAAGCTTCACAATTCCTTTTTTTTTTTTTTCTCATTGGGCCTTATTCAAGTACAAACTTTAGTTTTACCTATCAAACATGAAACTGTTCTTTTTCTAAGAAATGGTTGTCAAGTCTCCAATAATAATTATATTATCCATAGAGAAAATACCTTTTGTCAACATTTTTTCGATGTGTCCATTTTTTAACATTGATTGTTCTATGATAATATTTTCATTCAATTTGTCTTTGGATCAGTTACGAGCAAGGGATTTCATTTTGCTTGATTAGTCGGCATGTTGTAAAAATTGATTGTTATTATGATCAAATTATTAATATTATTTTCATTTAATTTAGTATAGATAGATATTTCAAAAAGAAAATTTTAAGGAGATGATAAAAAAATGTTATGTGAGGAAAACAACATACAAATCAAACAAAATCGTGTAGAAACAAATTTTACGGATATCCCCGTCAATATCGAATTGAGAATTTTTTTTTTTTTTTTTGTTGGATTATCATTCTAACAAGAGGGACAGTGTCATGAGCATTACTTGTTGAAAAGACCATGTCAATCGTGTGATCATGAATTTCAGTGTACACAATTTAGATATAAATTTTATTAATTTAATCTTGGATGATTTGATGATCACAAAGCTTGGTTAGAGTATATTGTAACCAATGATGCAGCGTACTATTTGTTTTGTTATAAGTATAGACCTCAAATTCGAGAACATGCTAGTTGTGGTAGTTTCGATACAAATGATTTTAGAAATGGAGAAAAAGGATAAATTTATATTCATGTTGGTAATATGAACAATACATATAACATAGCTAGGCGAAAATGTGAAAATTTAATGAATGAGTACATGTGTATCAAATTTGCTTTTGGAATACCTTTTAAGCAGAATCACAAAGATTATCGTACACAATTAAATGCAAGTGTCGATTGTGTATGTTTTCTTTTACATCAGGGTTTAGCATTCCGTGGGCATAATGAAACAGAGGATTATGAGAATCAAGAAAATTTTCTTGAAACTTTTGCACTTTCTTGTTAACCACAATGATGATATAAATAAAGTTATTTTATATAATGCTCCTCAAAATAATAAACTAATAGCTCCAGAAATCCAGAAATAAATCATATAATCTGTTACAATTGAGGTTTCAAATGTAATAATAAATGAATTAAAAAATATTGTATTCATAATTTTACTTGATGAATTTCAGGATATATCAGTCAAAGAACAATTTATCGTTGCTTACGTTGATACACGGGGATGTGTAATTGAGCATTTTATTTGGAATGTTCACGTAGGAGATACAACAGTTTTGACACTAAAGTTGGTCATTGAAGCTGTTTTTACGAAGTATGGATTGAGTGTGGCACAGTTATGTAGACAATGATACGATTGAGCAAGCAACATGCGGGTGAGTTTAATGGACTAAAAATATTAATCATAAAAAAAAAAACTGGAAAGGGGTGGAGTTACAAAAGGTTGAGGTTTAAATCAAGAAATTGCTCTTCAAAGGCTAGGAGACACTCGTTGAGGTTTCCACTATAATTTACTCATCAGTTTAATTCTTTTGTTTGGGTCTATTATAGATGTTCTTGACATTGTGACACATGAGGGAGCTAGCAGTGACAAAAAAAGTTAAGCATATTCCCTACTTGAATTTGTGCAAAGTTTTAAATTTGTTTTCAATTTGCATATGATGAAGACTATATTAGGAGTTAAAAATGAGTTATCACAAATACTACGAAGAAAGGATTAGGACATTATAAATATTATGACTTTGAAAAAAGTTTTTAAACAAATGCTTCAAAATATAAGAAATGATGGGTGAGACACATTGTTTAAAGAATTTGAATTATTTTGTGGAAGAATAGCATAAACATTTCAAGCATGACTAATTTGTTTGTGATGCGAGGAAGATCAAAGCGTCGTACTGAAAATATAACAAAAGACATTATTATTAAATCGAATTATTTTACACTGTTTTAAATATGCAACTTCAGGAGCTCAATAACAAGTTTGATAAAATTAATACATAATTATTTATGTGTGTCACATGTTTGAATCAATGTCAGTCATTTTCAACTTTTGATAAAGAATGATGGCTAAGCCTAGCAAAATTTTATCTGTCGGATTTTTCAGAAATGGATATCATTATACTAGACAACCAAATTAAAAATTTTATTGTTGATATGAGACGAATGACACATTTATGAATTTAAAAAGATTTGGAGAATTTGCTTAGAAAATAGTGAAGACTCAGAAAAATTATATTTATCATTTGTTGTTATTACTTATAAAGCTTGTTTTGAGATTGTCAATTGCTACAACAACAGTCAAACGGACGTTTTCTGCAACGAATATTAGAAATAATCGTTTACAAAATCGTATGGAAGACTCCTGGATGAATGATTATTTACTTGCTTATATTGAAAAAGATATATTTAATAGTATCAATAATGAATTGATTGTACAACGATTTCAAAAAATGATGACTTGATGGGAGAAATTATATATGATGGGTACGCTTTTTTGCTTTCTCATATATTCTATCTTTTTATAATGAATCTAATATTTAAAAAAAATTAAAACTGATGAAAAAGGTTGCGAGTTTTTTAATTACTTTAATGATTTGTGCCTCCACATTAAAAAAAATCCTAGCTCCAACCCTGGCTTTGAACCATTTTTGAATAACATCAAACTTGTTCAAACCTTTTAATTTTGATTTAAATAAGCAAGTAAATATTCAAATTCTGAAGTTCAAACTTTATTCAAATATAATTAGAAATTTATTCTAATTTAATAGTTATGTTGTTTCCCTTTATTTTTATAACATATTTTTTCTAGATGAATCTAGTCTTATTATTCTGATACTATATAAGATAAATTCGGGGATTATTATTGATATGTATTTTGATACTTAGGATGTTTTAAATATGTTTACTAGGGGTGTAAATGAGTTGGGTTGAAACAAGCACTTGCCTAATCGAACTACTTGTTTAATTCTCACTGAGCTCAAAGTCAAGTTCGAGCTCGACTCGAGCGATCATTTACTAAGCTCAAACTTGATTCGTTTGAAAATTGTTAAGCTCGAGCTCGACTCAATTATTCAAGGACATTTGAAAAAGTTCGAACTTGACCGAGAAATAATTAAAAATATTTAGTATATATTTTATGTATTATATTATTTAGAAATAAATTTTGAAATATATTTTAATTTAAACGAGTGGCACGACAAGCTTATGAACCAAGGCAGGCTAAGCTCAAACTTATAATACATGAGCTCGAGTTCGAACACATTGCTCGATAAACTTGGCTGTTTTGATTGGAGGTTTGTCGCTTTGCTGAGCTGTTGAGCTCACTCTTGTTTTCTGGTGGTTTTCAGGTTCTGGGAAAGGGAAGGAAGTCCAGGAGTAGATTTCTGAGTTCTGATCAGTATAGGTATTGTTTGTACCTTTTGATTTTTGTACAGTCATGGCTTTTCTGTTCTGTCTTTCTTTCTGTTCAAAAGCCATGTACTGTATTTGTAGATGATTGTTTTGAGGAAAATGAAAATATAGATGTTTTGTTCCGCTGCATTTGATGATAAATAGTAGCTCTGTGGTTGTGTGTCTGTTGAGTTAAATATTTGGAAGATTCAGTTCAGAACCAAAATTCAAAGCCAGATCCTGGATGAAAAGGTTTGGTCGCGGTCCGGCTCGGGCGGGATCCGTCCCTGTCGGGTCGGGTCGTGACAGAGATGTCACCGAGCTGTTTGAGTGCAAATTCGGACTGTAGTTGTTGAAGCAGTCGGCGAATGGCCACAGAGTTATTCCCTGTAATTAAAAAATCATCAACGTATATGAGAATAAAAATTTGAGTATTTGCGGTATCCATAATTAAGAGCGACGGGTCAGCCCGGCTAAAGGAAAACCCTTGAGATTGGAGAAAATTTGTGAGTTTTTGAAACCATTGGCGCGGGGCTTGTTTTAATCCGTACAAATATTTGTGGAGTTTACAAACTGCGTTCGGTTGCTGTTGGTCGATGAATCCGGGGGGCTGCCGCATGTATATGTCCTCCGGGAGATTGCTGTAGAGAAAGGCGTTGGCGACGTCCAGTTGATACATGGGCCATTGACGTTGAAGCGCGAGGGTGAGAAGTAGGCGGATGGTCGGCATTTTAGCGACGGGACTGAAGGTTTCCGTGTAGTTTATGCCGAACTTCTGATCATACCAGAGAGCGACTAATCTGGCCTTGTAGCGATCCACCTGCCCGTTCGAAAGAAGCTTAGTTTTGAAGGTCCATTTGCAGCCGAGGACCGGTTTGTTCGGCGGAGCAGGAACAAGGGACCAGGTGTCTTGATTGGTGAGGGCTTCAAATTCTTTATGCAATGCGAGACGCCAGTTCTCAGATTTCATTGCTTGATTATAAGATGTGGGTGTGGTAGGAGAGGTGTGATGAGCGAGAAGATTGATAACTTGCTTGGGTTTGCGAATACCCGATTTCGACCGGGTTTGCATAGGGTGAGGCGGAGGTTTATCCAAGACAGGTGACGGAGCAGGGATGTTAAGTGGTAAGGGAATGTCATGTTGGGTTAAGTTAGCTGGGGTGGTGGGTCGAGTCGGAATGTGCTGGGTTTGATTTTGAGGTTGGGGAATGGATGGATGAGTAAGAGTGGGCTGTGATTGAGCTGAGGTGGGAATAAGGAGAGACGGGGGGTGATAAATGGACTGGATAGGGTCGGTGGGTGTGAGCTGGTTAGAATGTTGTTTGAAAGGAAAATTGTGTTCGTGAAACACCACATGTCTAGATATATGAGTTTTCCCGGTGAGAGGATTGAAACATTTGTACCCTTTATGAAGAGGAGAGTACCCAATGAACAAGCAAGCTTGGGAGTGATGGGAGTGAGGGGTGAATTTGTCATGAACGTAAGGACGAAGCCAGGAGTAACACAGACACCCGAAGGTGCGAAGATGTGTGAGATTTGGCAGTTGACCGTGTAGACGGTGATAAGGAATGTTATTGGAGATGGCTTTGGAGGGAAGAAAGTTGATTAAGTAATGAGCTGTAGCAACGGCTTCCGCCCAGAACTTGTGCGGAAGGCTAGCTTCAAGAAGCAACGCGCGAGTAAGATCAAGTATGTGACGATGCTTTCGTTCAGATATGCCGTTTTGTTCAGGTGTGTGGGGACAAGAAAGTTGGTGAAGGATGCCATTGGCATGCAAAAACGATTTGAAGGCATGGCTGGTGTACTCACCAGCACCGTCGGAGCGAAGAATTTTTGGTGTGGTATGAAATTGGGTGCGAATCATATGACAGTAATTCTGAAATGATTTGAGAGCATCGTGTTTGGACGAAAGAAAATAGAGCCAGGAGTGTCGCGTGTAATCGTCAATGAAAAGAATATAAAATCGACGTTGGACCCCAAATATCAGTATGAATTAAATCAAAGGCATTAGAAGTAACAGAATTGCTTTTATTGAAACTATTTTGTGGCTTTTGGCCTTATTACAAGAGTCACAAACAGTCGAATGTTTTAAAATAGCTAAATCGGGAAATGTCCTAGCAAGAACCGCAAGAGAATCTTGGTTGGGATGGCCAAGACGAGCGTGCCAGGGGGTGAGAGAAATCGTCGCCGTGTTTAGGGCCGTGTGACTGCTGTCCGGAGAAATGCTGATGCGGTAAAGACCGTTATGCAGCCGTCCAAGAAGTAGAGGATGATTGTCCCAGAGATCCTTCATGACAAATCCGTTAGCATCAAACGTAATAGAAATGGAATTGTCTTTAGTAAGTTTTGAGACTGAGAGAAGGTTGTGAGTAAGAGACGGGACGTGAAGAAGGTTGGTTAGACGAAGCTTACGAGACGTATCCGGGAGAGGAAGCAGACCTTGGCCGATGTTTTGAATAGGTACAGACGAACCGTTGGTGGTAGAAACTGCGTCAGCTCCGTGATAGGGGGACGGGTAGTAGAGGTTCGAGGCTTCCGGCGTGAGGTGGGCAGAGGCGCTAGTGTCGAGAACCCATTCTTGGTTGGTAGCAGAATTCGGAGTGACAAGAAGAGCTCGTGGCGGGCGGGAATCGGTGGGTGCGTATTTCAAATTGCACCGGTGCCAGCAGTTCAATGCAATGTGGCCCGTCTTGCCGCAGATTTGACAAGTCGGTCTCGTAGTATTTTGAGAGTTGGTAGGTGAGGGAGCAGAGAGCGGTGTCGCAGAGACAGACGGCTGGCTCTTATTCTTGCAGAAGCGTTTGCCAGAATTGTTGCGATTGCGGGAGGTAGAGGCATAGAGGGCCGTAGAGGACGCATTGGTGATGGAATCTTGAGTAAATTCATGTTGAAGATGAATTTCTTCATTGCAAAGCATGGCGTAAAATGTATCGAGGTCAATGGGCTGAAGGGAGTTCCGTATTGTTGATTTGAACGAGTTGAACGTCGGCGGGAGTCCATTAAGTATATGGAGCATGATGTCTTCCGGATCGATTTGAGAGCCGGATGCAGTGATATTGTCGACGAGAGATTTGATGCGGGTAAGATATTGCTGCATGGGAAGATCTTTCATCTGGACACGATACAACTCGTTCTTGAGTTGCATGACCCGAGATCGACTAGTCGGTTGGAGTCGCCTTTCAAGAATTGCCCATGCCTCATGAACGGTAGAAGAGGTAATGATGTAAGGTAAAATAAGTTGGGATACCGTGGAGAAGAGAGCTGAAAGCAAATTGCTGTCGACAAGAAGCCAGTTGGCGTAAGCGGCAGAGGATTGGTCGGAGGGTGGTTGCACAGTGCCGGTTAGGTGTCCGGCGAAACCATTAGCAGTGAATTGCTGAAGAAGTTGGACACGCCATATCGGATAGTTGTCCGTAGAGAGGGGATGAGGAGCGAGGTTTTTGATGTTGGAGACAAGGAATTTCAGCGCCGAAGGAATTTGGCTGGCCATGGTTGTGGCGGGATCGTTGGAGAGGGAGGTGGGATGAATCTCTGCGGATTCTTGATCTCCCATGGAGGCGACTGATACCATGAGAAGAAATGAGAATGGCTTCAAGACGAGCCAGAGAGGAAGAAGAACACGATCAGGTAAAGAAAAGAGAATGTTATTATTGTGCGCACAGAGATACAGAGGCTATGAATATATAGCCGAGCGAATGGCAGGAAAAGGTAAATTTACAGAGAACTAAATAATTACAGAAATATCACTAAGTATGGATGTCTTCTAATAAATATCACCTTTATACTAGTTCTCTAATTAACAATTTAACCCTGACAAGAACTTAATTTAAGTAAAAAAGCCTCCTTTTACCCACAAGAATCATCATTTATAAAGTAAAACTCATTGTTATGAAACTATAGAGAACATTAAGAGGAATTGATAATCATATTTCCATATAAAAAAGTACATTAAAATGCAACCACTACTTATAAGAAGCAAATATTTAGTAGGCAAAAACAACAATCGATACTAATGAACCACAACCCCCAATCATATAAACTCTTATTTTTTACATCACCACTTTGATCTCACATCATATATATATATGAGAGCAACTATATATATGGCATCATTTCATTTAACTGAAATTTAATCTAAGTTACTTTCCTACACTGGGCTCATCTCCTTGTCATCCTTTAGGTTGTCATGGCCACCATTAACTATCTTCTCCACCTTCCCCTCCTCTATATTATATTCATCTGAAACTTTCTCAGAAATCTTCTCCTTATCTACCAAGCTCTGAGAAACCTTAGCATCCTTGTAGAATATGTAAAGCACCATCTGAACTGCACCAAAGGTGAATCCCAATACATTTGGGAGCTACACAACAGCCAAATTCTAAAGTTAGAATCAAGAAAATAATATAATAGAACTTGGAAATTAATTTATAATTATGCATCACATACAGCAACATAGATGTCTTTGCTGAACAAGCCAAAGGAGAACCAAACAACAGCACTCAAAGTGAGAAAGAATGATAAGGAGAAAGGCATGAACTCCACACTCTTGGTTCGTATGACCAACCTCTGCACACAATGAAAAGTTTATTAATTCAAGAGAAAATATATATTATAGCTTGAAGAAGAAAAGAAATCTCTCGATTTCGCTCTTACTATGATGCTCAAAGGAGCAGCGAAGACGCAAACAGAGAAGCCAACACAGATCCATCCAAGAACTTGGAGACGATCAGAGCCTTTGAAGAGGAGTAGAGTGCATAGAACAATTGAAGAGAACAACCCCACATTCAAGATCAAGATCATCTTGGAAGTGTGTATCTATATAGTTAAACTTAATAAATTAGTTTACCAACTTTGCAAAAACATATATATATAGATTTGATGAAAAAAATACTTCATGTTATGCTATACCTTGACCTTCTTTGGGGCATAAGTGAGGAATATAATGATGTATATGGTCTCAATTACACATCCAAATGAGTTAATGGTGATGAGAAGATATGTATTGGTTTTGATGAAAGCATAGTATATCCAAAGCATTGCACTGAACAATGCGACCACATATGGCACTGATTGAAACCCCTCAGTAGATTTCTTTTTGTACACACGATAAAAAGTTGGCCTGAGATCGAAAAATTGTGACATATCAGACATATAAGGTGATATGATAGCTTGATTGATATACTAAATGAAGCAGAAAAATGATCCTTACAATGGAGAAAGGTACACCATGAATGAGATGATGTTTCCTGCAGCATAGAAAAAAATATAAATTTATTATCATATTAACAATTAAAGTGTACTAATGCTGTAGAACCTCATGACTCATAGCTTCAGGAAATTATTGATGCATTGACAGCTGAGTTGACATATTCAAGAACTGGACATAATACACATCAGATATGGTTTCTAAGTTTAATTTCTCTCTCTCTTCCTTGCTCGATGAGCTCTCTTAACGAAAAAATTATATATATATGACAAGACTTTCTATTTTGTATTGAAAGAAGAAAGTCTATGATGGTAGAATAATAGTACAAGAGGTGTTATCATACAGTTTTTATACAGTTGTGTTGCAGTATTATATATGTATAATTGTCTCATAGTTTATATAGAACAAAAGAGTCATATATTTTTAATATAAATATTCTGTAGCATATAATTTTTTAACAAAATTTGTTCAGAATATTCTGAGCTAAAATTTGCTCAAGATACTTTTCATGATATTTTAATAGACAATTCTAAAGTTGTACAAGGCAGTTTCAGTTTGTTGTAATACAACTATCAATTGATTGACTATTTTGGTTGCGATTTTAACAAATAAAAAGGATTTCTTTCAAAATATTGGATTAACGACTATCTTGTAGAATACTAAAAAGGATGATACATCTCAAGAAAATTATTCGAATTTTTTTTTTAACTTCCGATGATCCGGTTATGAGAGTAAATGTATTAGATTTGATTTAAGTTAAGAAAGATAAAGGTACGTAGACTAAAAAGATTTGGTTAGAAAATATTAGAAATAACATTTCTTTATTATGTTTAAATAAGAATTTGACTCTTAACATAACACAATGGAGAAAAATGATTCATGTAGCCGACCCTACGTAGTGGGATAAAGATTTGATGTTATTGTTGCATGATATATAAGCATGGGCTTATTGAAAGAAAGTGTTATCTAACATAATATATTTTGATGAAATACAGCATAAACATAATATTAAATATGTATCAATTGAGTGGGATATATATATACTAATTGGCAAATAGCATGTTTCACAATTTATAAGTCATAAAGTTACAAAAAAAAAAAAAAAGTTCTCACTAAAAAACAGACAATAGAAAAATTAGTGGGATATATATAAAGAGCATGTTTCACAAGCCATGCATGCACTGGCTAGTGCTTAAGCTTTATAAGAGCATAAAATGTTATCAAGCCAACAATAAAAAGCTAAAGAAAACAGCAAAGAAGGTCCATGAACTAGCTAGTGCTTAAGCTTTATAAGCTCATGAAACTGTTATCAAGCCAACCCTTAAAGCTAAAAAACAGAAAATTAAGCAGGCCAGGCCATGAACAGATCCAACCTATCAACTGGAAGAAATAAAGGAAAAATGATATCTAGCTAGCTAGCCACAACGTTCTTAAACTTTAGTCTGGTGGCTAGCTAGAATGAACTGAAGTAAAATGAAAGACAAACAGCGATTAGAAATGGATGGCATAGTTAAATTTCATGGTCACCTAGGATCCCAAATGCAAATGCCCAGGGATGATCCAAAGAGATGCCACCTGCTGCCATCTCTCTCTCTCTCTCTAGCTATCTAGTTATCTAGAAAGTGTTAATATGAAGCAGAAGATCGAGAGAAAGAAGAAATTAATCCCAGCTAGCTGCAGGAATTTTTTTCTATGTTCTAGCTCCACTCATACGAGGCTTGGTTGGCTCGAGGAGCTAGCTAGAGAACTGAAAACCTGGAATGAACCAGCTAGAGGTTCGAACACACAATTTATAGACGAATTGAAGGAGAGGTGGTGATGTGTGGGGGAGGAGCTTGTGGGCCTTTATTGTTTGGTAGGTGGCATGGGAGAGGAAACCAATATTGATTCTAACACATAGGTTTCCTTTGGGACGGCTTTCTTACTGCTTTTTAAAGCAGCTTTTTAATATAAAAATTTTAGTTTTTAAACTAAAAAGCTGTTTTAAGAAGCAATAAAAAAATTGTCCCGAACGAAATCATAATCTGTATATATGCAGAAAGACTACAGAGATAGAAGCAATGATAGGATTATCAAGATCAGGTGGCATTAGTGCATGTCATTATAATATGTGGTCACGAGTGATTGGCAATTTTATGATACATGCCATGTCATACATAATAATTTCTATGCATTATTTGTCCCATTTAATGAATTTAGCAACTTATATGCTTATGTGTTAACGGTCCAAATTTTTTAAGGAATTAATAAGCCATGTTGTGTTGAGCGATAGAGCTTTATTACAGGAAAAAAAGAACAACATTAATGATATTTTTGGGTGGTAGTGATTTTACAGCTGTTGTGATTGGGATCACATAAATTCATTCATTTATTTTTTAAATTTGGACAATTTATGCACATTTCTTTTGTTATAAGAGTAAGGTTACATCAAATTTGAGTAACATTAACATAACAAATATTGCAAAAAAAAAAATTACAATTTTTTGTAACAAATTGTGGAGAAACTATTCATTTTTAATTTATATTTTGTATTGAGATTCAAATATAAATCTCCTTAAAAAACTTAGGTGCATAGATTTCAAAGCATGGAGATTTAGGCTTCGTTTGGACAGCTTTTTTTATGCTTCTTAGAGCAGCTTTCTAATAAAAAAAAATGTACTAAAAAGCTGCTTTGAGAAACAATAAAAAAGCCGTCCCAAACGAAGCCTGAATGTATAATTTGTTTGAAATAATGGAATTCTTTATATGATTTCCATACTATACAAATGCATATATCATGTTAAAAGTGTTATGGCCATAAATAATGTAAAAATTAGTTTTTATTTATAGATTAATACACTTGTATTTTATAATAATAAATTTATGAAAAATAACCAAAAAATTCATAATTTAATTAATAAATATATAATAATATAATCTGTAAAATAAAATGATTAAAAACTGTCCTAAGCATTTGTTAAAAAGCCTAAATTGAGTCAAATACTATCTTAATCATAATAAATTAAAAAGTATAAAACACAATCAGATACTGATATGATTACAACAAAAAGTTATGAAATGAAATCATAGACCATCCACTAGGCCAAAAAACTGAAGGCCTGTTGTTTTTACTTTTTTTGGTTGCTTTTCTGAAAAAATATCAAGGAAATAATAAATTAAAAGGTCACTTAAGAATATATTTTTTATTTTCTAGTTATTTATTTACTTATTTAATAGAGGGTAAATTGGACAATATAATTTTGTATGATTTAGGCTTCGTTTCGGACAACTTTCTTGCTACTTTCTAAAACAACTTTTTAGTAAAAAATATCTAGCTATGGACACTACAAAAAAAGGGCTATCACATCACTAATTTTAGGCTTTTTCAGCAGTCTTAACCGCCACTAAATTATTTGCAGTAATTCTAAATCCGCTACAAAACCATTGAGATTGCAATCTGCAACAAAGATATTTCGTGGCAATTTCAAGATTGTTGGGATATAATTGCTGAAGTTCTAGTTATACTGGCTGTTTTAACCACCACAATATGTTACATAATAGAGACGATTTTAACTGCTACTTTAATGTCTGTTGCAACGGTCAATATCTCAACATTAATTTACAGAATTACTGCGGTTATAATTGCTGCAAATTTGTAGCTAGCAATGTGGTGGTTAAAATCATCACAATAGCCGCATAAATATATATATTTTTTTTATTTTTCTCATCTTCCAGCATTGCTCCACTAAATAGAAAATTTCTGTTACAATTAATCAAATCAATCAACATATAAATTCATTAATATTGTAATATTACTAATGTTTGTGAGTAATACTCTTATGCCACAACAAACCAAACAAAGAAATATCCTTTTTAAACTTTTATAGCATTCCAAACCCCAACAAGATTAAAAGCATCATTAATGGTACCTTTAAACAAAATATGATTTTTGTATGTAATATCAATATGAAATTCTTAAAACTTGTTCCACATTAAAAAAAAATAAAAATTATTCAACAAAAAAAATTTGAAACTATTTAGCTGCTCAAAATAATCAATATTCGAAAATAAAAGAACCAAGAAGCATTCCTCAATCAATCATGAAATTTAACAAATAAATTTCTTTGCTTCCAATCAAACTTTACATAATCTATTCCAATTGAATAAGCAAATCTAGAAATAGGAGCATAAATAAAATAAGAAGAGGAGCACTATATATTTAGCATAGAGGATTTGACCACCCACAAAATATCATTTTCTTGAACTTCCACCAAAGCTTGAAATAAAAAAGCTTTCACCACATCCCTTAAATTCCTGATCCCCAAGTCGTTTTCATTACAATTTGCAAGGAAAATAAAGAGAATTTTGAGAGCACCAATGAATCTTTTTAACAACAAGATATTTTTTCCAAAATAATTGTTCAAAACTTTATCAAGTTTATCTAAAAAAGTTATCGATCAAAGGAGATAAAGCTTACAAAGGATAAAGAGCCATAGAAATTAGCACACTTTGATCAAAGTAAATCTTCCACCAAATCAAAGCAACTTAACATGCCTCCCCTAACAGAAATAATATGAAGACTGAAAAACTAATTATCAAATAATCTAAATTAAAATTATAACTTTAATTTTATACATACTATTTACAAGCTTCTTGGGGATGGGTGATGCATCTGAAATTTTTGCATAAATTGTCTCATCTTAGAACATAAAGAGTGGAAATATCTAATATCAGCTCATAATGAACTAACCTCCTCTTTTAAACTTGCTATTTGATCGAAAAAAAACTACTTTCGATCTCACCGCCGGCTTCAATGGTGCTATGAGGAAAACATCAAGTTAGAGTGATACCAAATCTTTGTGTTCGTACTCTACTTTGAGTGTTCATATCCCATAATTAAGTTGAACACCCTCTCATTAGCCTCCATATTTTTGTCTTCTGGCGTGAGCCTTTCCTCAACAAGAAGATCACAAGCTTATCTCTACATTATAATTAATTTAGTTAAATTTGGTTATGAAATAGTACTAAACAATCATTATAAAATCATAAATAAGTTAATTATACTTACCCATTGTTTCTTAACATCCTAAGAAGACCAAGTCCCGTCTCTATGCATCCTATTAATTTTTATAATTGCAACCTATCTTTGAAAGGCTACAATAGAAATTCTAATAATAATGTAAGTAAAAAAAATGAAGTATATATGCCTTAAAATTACATATGTTTAATTAGTGCGTTCTATTTCTGTCTGCGAAGTAAACTCACATGGTTCATCATAAAAGTACAAGTTTGCTTCTTTACATCAATAGATCACAGTACATAAAAATTAGCATTTTGCGATGGATTTTCGACACACTTTGCGGATAAAATTTTTTTCCATTACGGAGGAAATTCCACAAAAAAGTTGTGGTGGAAATTCTGCTGCAAACTATCATGTCTAGCTGATTGATTGGGCATTCGTTTTATTTGTTTATTATCTTCTTGACCGCTGTCCTTCACCATGACTTCTCTCAAATCCTTCGACGATGTTCACTGTGCAATCGCCTCCTTCGATGACATTCCTTCTTATAGCATCTGAAGTCGCAATTCCTCGTTCTTCTTCTTCACAATAGCAGTATGACTTCCTTCCCATTCTTCTTTGTCGCCGTCCCATTCTTTTTTGCAGCTGAAGTCGCAGACGGAGCTTGCTCGTTGAGAAGGTATCCATCTGTCTTCCTTTCACGCGCTTCTTCATCCACATTGTTGCATCCAAACTCACACCTCGATGTTCTTCTGTAGCAACCAAACTTGAGGAGATGGGAGCTAGTCGTTGCGAAGGTATCCATCTTTCTTCCTTTTGTTCATATCTTCGTCCAAACCCTAAATTCGTCACCGCTGCAAGGTATGCATTTTGCTAATGGTTACTTATTTGTTGATAAGACTAGAGATGGAGTTGAATGTAAACTTAAATTATAGAGGTCAATCTTACAGTCTATGAAGAAATTTCAGTCCTACAGTAGGTGGGCACTTGATGGAGAAGCTAAAATTTTTAAAAAAGCTCCAAAAGATAACGTGATTAATTACCAAAGTTTGTAAAGGTTAACGACACATTTTTCCATATGAAGGCACAAAATTATCACCAACTTTTGCATGTCACAATCACTATTGCAAATTTATTTGTCTTAATTTTACTAAATTAATACAAATCCCATTATTTGGTTATAGGAATTCGATCATAGTCCAAATATGTTTTGGATATTTAAAACTATAGCAGTTGGATGTATAATTGACTGTTGCCTAAATGCAAGGCATTACCAAATGAATTTTTGAACAAAGTGAATTATTTCATTCAAGCAGGCCGTCAATTACCTTTCTTTATATGAGAAGAAATGTTTTATTATTCATATTCCAAACATAAAAATCAAGCCTACCTCACTATAGATGAGATAATTATTGATCTATAACACAGATGCATGATTCATATCATAATAATGGTATTGGACTTCACATGGTGCGTACAAGCCTTATTTCAACTGTTAGTGCAGCCCACCAACATGTTCCAACATAGTTGAGAAAGACAGAGTTAAGATGTTTGAAGACTTAATTAGAGGCGGTTTAAATCGTTGCCATTAAATTAAAGTGGTTTAAACCGCTTCTATCACCGACAGTTTTAGCCACTATGAAAAAGTATAAATAGCATCGATTTTTAGACCGCCATTATGAAATGTTGTGAAAAGATTCAATGTTTACTAGTTGGAATAATAAGAGGAAGAAGCTGAAGAAATTAATAGAAGAAGATTAGTGAGAGGGTTATGG